TTTAAGAGCTTTACATTTCAAATAATAGTACTTCTTTTTATGAAAATTTCTCAGTATGACTGTATGCTTATTTCCCATGAGCAACAGTAGAAATTATATTTAGGCAATGTGATACAATGAATCATCTGATATAAACATGTTTATGTATGTTAAACACAAAAATAATTAGTTTGCCAAAGACCACTGTATTCAACAGCAACAACAAAAAGCATATTCACTAGAGATGGAAGAGACCACAATACATTATTGCAAATTCTAACTGTATTTTCCATGTGAAACTACCGACAGCTTCTCTCACTGGAAAAGAGAGGCTGAGCTTCTATTTACAGAAATGAGGGAAGCATAGAAATACAGAATGCTTATTCTGATATGTGAGAACTTCAAAAGTACTCTCCTATTTAAAAGTTTGCTGTCTCAACACTGAAACAAAGAAATATACAAAGTGAACTTATCATAAGGCACAGGTGACAGAAATGTCTTAGTTTTGTTTTCAGCATTAGCATTTGTTGTCACTAAGTATCCAGGACAACTACAAACAAATGCAGCAGCAAATACATTATTCCCTTGCATATAGTTAAGAGGAGAAAAAGTCATTTTAATCACGTGTGCTGCAAATCCTTGGCCGGTATTAAAATTGGCCATTTGATAGAGTACAACAGTTCCTTCTTTGAGTGGTGTGTTTACAATTCACTTCTTTTTTTTTTTATTGTTAAATTAAAAATTAAGAAATAATCCATACATGTCAAACTAACTAAAAGCTAGCATTTGTCATCTTAAAACCCCATAATCTAGAATCCGTGTCCCTTTAGTCACGTTCATCTTGGGAGTCTGCATAAATGCTTTAAATATACTAGTGCAAGGCTAGCTATTACTGGGGAGAGGATAATGGAGCTTTTACTGATCATTAGGAAAAGTGACTGGGGATTGCACTAATTTAAGTATTTGTTTCACTCTACTATCATAGATTATGAAGTAGAAGTAATACAGTAAGCATGTTTTGGAAATGAGGATGTAGCTACAAAACCTTCTAATTCCCACTTCGCCAGTGTTATAATCCCAAAAACTTAAATAAATTGCTTACTTCTAACACAATAACTAGAAAGAAAAAAAATAAGAAACAAAAATCATGAATGCTGCTGCTTTCTTCAGATTCATGAAACTGAGATGAACAAAAGTCACATTCTGCAGGAAGGTTTGCTTTTGGGTTTATGCTTTTAGCATAGCTTTTGAATGTCCTCTTATTTTTTTTTATTTCATTTTAATGAACATTCCATGTTAGAAAACTTGAAAGCTGTGATTCTTGGTAGATATCTGCTGCTTCTTTCCAAAGCACTACTACATTCTAATGTGTGTGAATGGAGAGAAATAATGGAAAAGTAATCGTAAGTGAAGTACAGTAGTAGAAGAAAACTATGACAACTAACAACCACTAAGGACAAAATAGCTTTTCCTAAAAAGCACCTAGGCAACAACAACAACAACAACAAAGTGTTTTTCATGAACCTTTAATATGTCTGTTCTTTTCTGGGTATCAGAAAAGAAGGGACAAGAAACTGAGTAAACAGCAAGATGGTGAAAAGAGACATCTGCTTTTGCCCTTCCATTGAACTGCTGGGGTTGGCAAAGAGCTGTGCTAGCTGCAGGAGAAAGCTTTTGTCCTCTGCTAGCAAACAGTCCAGAAACAAAAACATACTCTTCTTCAGCATCAGAGGTCATACGAGCTTTGTTATTTTGATAGAGCTTCCCTTCATAAAACACTTTCAGAGTGGGCTGGCAGCATCAACAAAACGTTTTAAAGAGGGTACAAAGTGCAAATGAACATTGAAATTATAACATTTTAAATAATGTTTGGCCTTCAATAGTTTGTCTTCAGTATTCTGAAAATCACAGTATGGAAGGGGTAAATAATGCCTAAGAAATTCCTCCTGCCCTCTTCATATCTACAGACCAATGTGAGAAGTACATCAGTCTCAAATTTTTAACCCTCATTTTGAGATGGCTGGTAGATAGTGGTTACGTAGAAAAGAAATTTTAAAAATACATATCAAAATGTTTGATGCTACAACTTTGTACCGTTTCATTTTCTCTGTATAATTAAAGATCTAGAACAGAATTTCTGCAAAAGCTATAATTCACTTTGGTTTGTTTGCTTGTAAAAATACCCAAGAAAGCCTGCCACTTGCCCAGCACTAGTAGTAGGTAATGCTGCACCACCAGCGTTTTTCCAAGTAATATCTACACTTGTAGTGTTTCAGAAATCCACTGTAAGATTTCAAATTGCTAAGATACTGGACTTGGAAAATTTGTCTTGGTAATTTTTCTATATAATAGATTTTTTTCTGCACCATAAATGTGCACACTCTCAACAGACTTTAATCATCTGTGATGTTCTAGCTAATGCTAGTAGGTCATTTAGTCATGTTTCACATGAGTTTCTGAGGGAATATAATGGTAACAAATACAGAAAAATTATCTACTTGCTATGAAGTAAAAATATGCAATATCAGTTACTGAATACCTTGAGTAATTTCACTGCTTGAAGGTCTGCATTGAACAACCTAAAATGCTTGACTTAATCCATAAAGTTGACCAAAGACTGAAACAATTACCATTGTAGCTGCTTGCTTCTGAGGTTTCCATCTGTAGCAGGAA